TCATGCAGTCTTTAAGAATCCGATGAAGCACCCAGTTTCCTCCATGGGTTTGTGTTTGATGGGTATTATCTTCTAAGGCATCAAATATGATAAGTTATTGGGTGTTAGGGACACAGTGATGGTTGAAGAGAGTGATAGGCAAGGAAAGATAGTAGGGCAGGTGCTAGAGGAGTCCTAATGGCCTAAGATCTAATCTCAGAAATTACTCAAGAAGAACTGTTAGGCCAAAATCCCACTAGAAAAGACCATTGTTTGGATGCACACAAATAACCTTGAAGGTGGATCATTATCCTCTGACCCTTAGCTGTCTTTGGAAAGAAACTTTCCTTTATTCCTCTTGTGGCCTTTAATGACTGTTGGTGGAGATGGGAGTTGATTTTTGAGAGAGACCCTCAGGTCTAGTAGTTCTTGACATGTCCAACCTCCTACCCTATTATGTCAAGATTCTGGTCAATTTGAAAATAAGGGTTTATACATTCATCCATTTGGGGGTATTTGTGAAGAAGGGGCTCTAGATACCTAGAGGAGAAGAAATAATGAGTTTTCTAAGAATAGCATTGTCTGATACTGTTCTTGTAGTGCACTCAGTCATATACTTAACTAGTTTTATTCCTGATTTTTGTTCCACTTTTCATTTTTCATCTTTGGGTTGACAGTATGGACATCAGCCAAAAACCTAACTGGGATCAGCTGAGTGAAAGTCAGTATTATTGGAATCCAGTTTAATTTCTTTCTTTTTTTTAATATTTATTTTTTAGTTTTCGGTGGACCCGATATCTTTATTTTATTTTTATGTGGTACTGAGGAACGAACCCAGTGCCCCAAGCATGCCAGGCGAGCGTGCTACCGCTTGAGCCACATCTCCAGCCCCAGTTTAATTTATTTTTATTTTTTTTTTAGAGAGAGAGAGAGAATTTTAACTATTTATTTTTTAGTTTTTCGGTGGACACAACATCTTTATTTGTATGTGGTGCTGAGGACTGAACCTGGGCCGTACACATGCCAGGCGTGCTACCATTTGAGCCACATCCCCAGCCCTTAATTTCTTTATAAACAACAGGAATTTATTTTTCAGTTTTGGAGGCTGAGGCATCTTAGAGCAAGTGCTCTTCCTGGCTGGTAGATAACTGACTTCTTATATAGGTAGGGATGGGGAGTAGGGGAAACAAAACTATGGTGTCACTTCTTATAAAGGCACTAATTCCATTATGGGGATCTCACCCTCATGACCTCATCTAAACCTAATTACCTTGAAAAGGCAACATCTTCAAGAGTCATCATCTTGGAGGTTATGGTTTCAACCTAAAAATTCTGAGGGACACAGTTTAATCTATAGCATAATCTAAAGTATAGTCTCTAGAATAGAAAGACTCATTTAACAATTAGAAGGAGAGAAACAGTATAATTACATTGATGTTTAAGATCCATTCAGTGGTGACAAGTACATATAATTTGAAGTACAAAGAGAAGATGGTAAGGCATACCATCTCATGGTAGAAGTTTGTGAGGTCTGAAACAGGTGTACAAGTATGTAGTAATCTGTGGATCCTAAACTTAGAAATCAGGCTAGAGCATGAGTGGAGACATTAATAAGTATGGAAATAATGTGGTTACAGTGAGCAATGATCTAATCACTTATAAGATACTATGACTAATTTGATGGAGATGGGGAAGGTTTGAACAGATGTTTTTTTATTATTTTTTTTTCAGTGAAAAAGTGAATCCAGTGAAACACTTTTTAATGAATTTTGAGGATGTAAGTGATATTGCCATCAGAAATAGGCATGCTTTAAATCATTTCTTTTGGAGAGAACACAGAACTAGAATTCAGGAATCATGCATTTAGGGCTCTCTGCATATCCTCCATATAACAGAAGTTTTTTTGGCTTTAAATTCCATCTTCAAATAATCTGATAAACATATTAGTTGTCAAATTATTAGAATATTAATAATTTTGACTTGAAGGTTTTTTTGTTGTTGTTTTGTTTGTGGATGGTAAGGCATACCATCTCATGGTAGAAGTCAGTACTAGAAACGTAGATGTGACACTGAGAAAAAGACTGGATTTGGGTAGGAGTTCTTTCCCAGGACATTTAGTAATGTCTAGGGCCAGTTTTGATTGCCACACTGGGGAATTAGTACCTATATCTAGTGGGTAGAGGCCAAAAATGCTGCCAACATCCTGCTATGCACCCAGAATTCCTCTATATTAAGAACTATCTGGTCCAATATCTTAAGTGCATAGGTTGAAAAACTCTGGGCTAAGTGGCACCATCCTGGAGTTAGGTAATTGAAAGTAGTATAGACAAACCTATTTTAGCTGATTCCAAAGAGCAATGTTCAAATCTGCCATATATATATGTGACATTATATATAGACTTAATTTTTTAGGTTGTTAATTATACTATTCATGACACACTAGATAATAAGCTTCATGCATTCACCACTGTCTGCCACAGTATCTTACCAGTGTTGGGCAAATAAAGTAAGTGGAATAATTGAGGGGAAAAAAAATGAATAATTTTTGTTATGCTTAATTGTATTCTTTAGTTGACTTGCAAGGTGATGTATGTGTTTATAGGAATAGATAATATCTGTATGTTCCAAAGTTAGGTACTGGTATTCTCATTAAAATTAATGTATCATGTGTCTCATATTTTAGATGCCAGTTTAATTTTTATAGATTGGGTTATGCTGATTTGAAGAGGCCACAATGCATCTTGACATGTTTTCAGAATCAGTGAGCTATGCAGTAGTAGATCACTTGCCTAGAATATGCAAGGCCTGGCTTCAATTCCAGTACTGCAAAATAACAACAACACGGAGTCTTAAAGTCCAGTGAGCTGCGAACCATGCCTATGTTTTGCTTGCTTTAGATCAATGTTTTTCAGACCACTTAGTTGTGACCCATTGATGAATCTTAATTGATTTTGAGTCATGATCTATAAAAGAAAAATGAAATAAAAGATATTTAAGTATATCTCATGTAATATAGAGACAATTATTATTTATATATGCTAGTATATAGTGGAACTCCATATAATTTTTTTAAGAGAGAGAGAGAGAGAGAACTTTTTAATATTTATTTATTTATTTTTAGTTTTTGGTGGACACAACATCTTTGTTTGTATGTGGTGTTGAGGATCTAACCTGGGCCGCACGCATGCCAGGCGAGCGCGCTATCGCTTGAGCCACATCCCCAGCCCCAACTCCATATAATTTTACTTTATTTTTTTTTTAACTTGGTTTTGATTTTTAAAAAAAATCTATATCTATATCTATTTGAAAAGGCTAGCTGCTTTCAGTTGTTTATTAGCTTACAGAATTTCTGAATTGAAGTTTCTCAGTAAATTCGTAGAAAATGTGGAATTATTGGAGCACAGTCTTTTTATAAGAGACTTTTTTATATCAATTTTAAGGTCTTATAAATAGAAGATCTTATGAGAGTTACTATTTGTTGGTTCATTTAACAAACTAAGCATTTGTGCTGGGTATTCCACAGTCAACAAAAGATCCAGTCTCTATCCTTTGTGGTTTTGCTACTGGGCAAAAAGAAGGAATCAAGATAAAGAAGTTAAGTTTGTATTATGTTAAGTGAAGGTAGGACTTTATGGTGAAAGAGAAGGGAAGTGAGCCAGGTGCTGTGGCTCACACTTGTAATCCCAGTGACTTGGGAGGCTGAGGCCAGCTTCAGTGATTTAATGAGAACCTATCTCAAAAGGCAAATAAAAAAGGACTGGGGGTGTAGCTCAGTGGTAGAATGTCCCTGAGTTCAATCCCAATAAAAGAGTGGAGTGGAGGAGGGAAGTAATTTGATTATGAGTTAAGAGGTTATAGTTTGAAATATTTGAAACCTCTCTGAGAATGGTGCTTGGAACAGAGAGCCCTGAAGTTGATGAGTAGCCAGCCATGCCGGTATCTTGATGAATGAACATCATATTAAAAATACAAATGTTGTAAGCAAAGTTTTGTGTGTTCATGAGGTAGTGAGGAAATTAGTATGGTAGAGTGAAGTGGGTGAGGGAAAAAGAGTATGAAAATATATCTGGGGTTGGAAGTATGATCTTCTAGACATTGGATGTACTTGACCTTTTAACTCTTTGTGGATCAGAAAGCTCTTGGAAGGTTTTGAGCTGAGCAGTGAAAAAAATTTCATGTGGTTTAACAGAATCATTCTTCCTTCCATATGGAAAACAAACTGAGGGGGATTTGAAGGAACAGTGTTGTACTTAAGTTCAGTGGGGAAGTCAGAACTGGAGAAATTTAGTAGATATCAGTGAATGGATTAGGCCATTAACTGAGATGAGATTATCAAGGTAATTTATTCCTGATTTGCCTGTCTGACACATGCTAAGTATTGACATTACATTATGTTACTTGTTGGCTATGTGTAGATACTCTTACTCTCCAAATTTGATAACTCTTGTCTATATAATGATTTAGGAATTAGTCTAGATGAATCAATTGATATATATTTAATATGTTTTCCTTTAATTCTACTGTGAAACAAACTATCTTGGAATAGTTGGTGCTTTTAAAAATAGCTATTATCTTAAGTCTAAGGAATAAAAATTTTTGTATCCAAGATACTGAAAAAACACTTGTGAAAGTAAAAATACATTTTATTATATTATTTATTTTTATTTTTATTAGTTATTGATGGACCTTTATTTATTTATTTGTTTAAATGTGGTACTGAGAATCAAACCCAGTGCCTCACACATTCAAGGCAGTTGCTCTACCACTGAGCCACAACCTCCGCCCTTATTTTATTATATTATTTTTAATGATTTTGATTGGAAGCGGTTACTATTAGTGTGGGGCAAAGCTATGAAACTGTGATACTCTAGACTTTGTCGTACATCAGTTTTAAGTTGCCATTTTTCTTCCTTGAGTGTCAGTGTTCTTGTCTGTAAAATGAGTATGGCTAATAACTACCTCAGAATTTTAGAGAAGAATTAAATAATGCATTTTTCTGAACTTACTGTGTTTGTACTTAGGTGGCTGTTTATACAAAGGAAGCACTGGGACTTCTGGCTACCTTCAAGAATAAAAAAATAGAAAATGGAACAACCATGTGTGTTATGTGAGGAAGAACAGGATCCAGAACCACAGAACATAAAAGAAACCAAACAAATAGATGATGAAGATGCGGAGCTGATCTTTGTTGGGGTGGAACATGTAAATGAAGATGCTGAACTGATCTTTGTTGGGGTGTCTTCAAATTCAAAACCAGTTGTTTCAAATATTTTGAATAGAGTAACCCCAGGTTCATGTTCACGGAGAAAAAAGTATGGTTGCCGAAGAAAAGATACTGTTCGTAGATTGCAGCCTATAAGTCATGTGACCCCTTCATCAGAAACAGTGACTATGTTGCCAGTATCTCAATCTGAATCAAGATCAACAGATAGTCCTATTATTATTGAGCCTTTGTCTAAGCCTGATGATAAAAGTAATTCACCAAAAGTTGTGCCTAGTAGCTCTTCAGAATCATGTTCTCCTGTGGTTACCCTCACAAGTTCATTGCATCATCCAGTGAAAGCAGCACTTTCAGAAGGAGGTATGAATGAAAGTACTTGTATATCAAAGCGGTGTTCCAATTCTGAAGTAATTAGCATAAATCCCAAAAATCCTAAACTCAGTGATGGAATCACAGGAGGAGGATATTCTTTAACTTTGTCCCCTCCAGGTGTTTTTAATAATAATAATCCTCAGCAGAGTACACCCAATGATGTCCATACCTCAGTAAGCCATGTTCAGAATGTATTATCTTTTCCCACAGCTTTTCCAAAGAACAGTCTCCATTTAAAGCCTATAACTATAAATCCTGATAGGGAAAATGGGTTGGCAAAAACAGAATTTTCAGATCTAGCAAGTCAAAATAAGACCTTTGATCCCAAGAAAGGGAATTTGATTCTATTACTTAGTGACTTTTACTATGGACAACATCAAGGAGATGGGCAGCCAGAACAGAAAACTCACACAACCTTTAAATGCCCCAGCTGTTTGAAAGTTCTAAAAAATGTTAAGTTTATGAATCATGTGAAGCACCATTTGGAACTTGAGAAGCAGAGGGGTGACAGCTGGGAAACCCACACTACCTGCCAGCATTGCCACCGGCAGTTTCCCACTCCCTTCCAACTACAACGTCACATCGAAAGTGTGCACACTCCACAGGAGCCCTCTGCTGTCTGTAAAATTTGTGAGTTGTCATTTAAAACAGATCAGATTCTTTTAGAACACATGAAGGACAATCATAAGCCTGGGGAAATGCCCTATGTGTGCCAGATTTGCAGTTTCAGATCATCAGCCTTTGCTGATGTGGAAACACATTTTAGAACATACCATGAAAACACTAAGAATCTACTTTGTCCTTTTTGTCTCAAAATTTTCAAAACTGCAACACCATATATGTGTCATTATAGGAGGCACTGGGAAAGGGGTGTTCACCAGTGTTCTAAATGTCGGCTACAGTTTTTAACTTTCAAGGAGAAAATGGAGCATAAGACCCAATGTCATCAAATGTTTAAGAAGCCTAAGCAACTAGAAGGATTGCCTCCTGAAACAAAAATTGTTATTCAAGTGTCACTGGAACCTGGTCAACCAGAATCAGTGAATGTAGCGTCTATTATTCTGAGTACAACTGATTCTGAACCATCTCCTCCCAAATCTAAAAATAGAATTTCCAAAAAATCTCATTAATTCTATTTTGGGAAATCAAAAGCAAATATTTCAGTTTGAATAGAAGAAAAAAACCCATGAAAACAAAAAATATAAACCATACATTATTTAGTAGCACCAAAAATAGTGAAACTAATGAATTGAGATTTAAGTTCATGCATAGGGTTTTAAAATTTTTTTCTTTCGTTCTTTTTTGTGGTGATGGGGATGAACCAGGACCTAGTATGTGCTGATCAATTGCTCTACCACTGAGCCATGCACCACATTCCCACTCCCTGAATTTTGAGCTTTTATATAATATATTACCTGGTTTTTATGTTAACTATCTGGTTCAACATATGAAAGGTGCTTGTATATGATGTTTGAGTGGGGGGTAAAAAAAGTGGAAGCCTATTTATTTTGTCAGTATTTTATGTTACTCCTAAGCTGGAGAGATCTTTCTTCTATATACAGAATTTGTAGAGGTTTTGAAGTATTTAATTTTATTTTTAAACTTTTTCTGTATATTACACATTTCACTGTTAACTCTAATCAGACTGGAATGACTTTGTTATGGCTTGATCCCTTTATTCATGAACTCTTAGAAGTGCCTGTGCAGTGTGAGTGTAAAATAATCTGGTTTTGAAAGCCTTAGTGTGATGTTGAAGGAGAAGCTGTGGCATGGATGGAGGTGAAGACTTATGTATAAGTTAGGCAAAAGAAAGTATTTGACCCCTTATCCTAGTTGAGGGATAGGCACATTCTAGTCTTGGAGCCAAGGCAGAAGGAACACAGCCTGAGAATGTCTTTGCCTAATAGAAGAACATCCCAAGGAAGCAAAATCATTCTTGAAAAATGTCTGCATTTGGTGAAGGACTCCTTCATATATTAAATAGCTGCTCAGTATCTTTAGCTTCATATGAAGCCACAACAGTAATTAGAATGGGAACCGGCCCCAATTAATTTCCTGTTGAGTGATCCAAAGGAGAATTTTTCATTCTGGCTAGAGGTTAGTGAAGAATGAATTCTCCTTGTCCTAATAAGCCACAGCAATAAAGCATGTTATAATTCCCGAGGAAAAGAAGCACTGGTATCTGAAGTTTGAACTGTACTGGACCCAGAGTTTCTGCTGAAAGGGGCCATACAAATGATGACTGTCCAGTTAATGGGCTGAGCTAAATTTAGTTCTTCCACTGATAAGCTGGAATGGGGGCTTGTCCAAGAACACTAGGTACAGTGCACCAAAATAGCCCAGGGTGACTGATTAAAATTAAACCCATATGGGACCTTATATTTTTCAGCACATGTGTAACTTACCATAATTGAGTATATGAAGCTTGCAGTTCTGTGTCTTGGAAGTGAGTGTATTATAGTTAGTAGGGGTTTTTTTTTTGTAGTATTTATAATTTCCTAACTGATTACACTAATGAATCTCTTTTTTTATCATTTTTAAATTTGTTCTAGTTAGTTAAAATGGCCCAAATGTATTGTCTGTCCTTATCTGATAGATCCTCCTATTTAATCTCTAACTATACTAGGGAGGAACTTTTTCCATTTGCCCTCCCCAAAGGCTGTTTCATAGAACTGTGAAGTACTTTCTGAGCATTGGTTCCTAAACATCAGCAGCCTGAGCTTCTGTGAGTTCCCAGGGTTGTCTATCTCCCAGGGCTTGTTCTAGGGTCATCTCTTATTCATTACCCTCATCGAAGGTACCCAGCAGCCTCTGTTCATCAATCAAGGAATCTACTAGCATCCTAGCTGTAGACATAGGTCTAGAAAAGTCTTTTTCATTCTTCCCCTACTCCTTTATTCTCTCCTCAATCTAATTAAATTTTCTAACTTTCACAAAAAGCTGGGAAGAGGTAATCTTCAGGTCATAGTATTAGAATTTGGGGAAGAAGGACTAAAAATAATTAAAAGAGGTTGTTAGTAGATTTTGTTGTGTTTAATTGCTCCATGCTTGCTTATTTGATTAATTCATTCACACCTTGAACGGTTTGCTAGGTCTTTTCAGTTAGTTTGCTTGGGCCAAGGCATGTTACGAAAATTTTACCCTGAACCCTTTCTTTAGATATAAGAAAATGTGTGTGTATGTTTATGTGTATGACTGTCCCACTTGTTCTGGTGGAAATTCTTATTGTTTAAATCTGCAGACTTTTGTGTATTGTGTTTCTATGGTAAAAGTAAGAAATGTTCTAGTTGTAAATTTTAGTGATTGCTTACTGTTAGTGGCACTGTGAACTGTTGTTTGCTGTTTCACTAAAGCATGCTCCTAAGGAGTACAAATTGTCAGTTATTGCCAACTACAGGTTCCAGTGGTGTGGTCCCTGCCTACCTCCTCCCTCTTTCATTCTGTGATACAGCTCTACCATTTCCCTAATTGATATGCTGTTTTGATATAATGGCCTTGTTATTCCTTAAGCAAATCATATTTTTTCCTGATTTACAGGCTGCACATGCTATTCTCTTAGAACGCTTTCCCCTAGGCCTGCATGGCTTGCTACCTCACTGAACTGTTCAACACTTCCTTTGGTTCTTAGAACTAGAAATCTCCCCCACATTTTTTGTAACCTTATTCTTTCTCCTTAAAGGCACTTTACCTCCCTCCCCCCACTTCTTTCTTCCCTCTCTAATATAGTTAAATTTCCTAGATTTTCACAAAAAAAGCTGGGAAGGAATCATTAAGGGCTTTGCTTCTCTTTTAGAATTGAGCTAGCTTGAGTCAATTTCTGTGCCTGCAACCAAAAGAAAGTTAATATAGTGAATTGAGTCAAAGGGAGCTTTCTTTGTTTTTCTATTGATAGCTTTATATTTTTTAAGGCAATGTCACTTTGTTTTATTTACAAATATATTTAATATGTGTCCAGATTACTATTTTATTATTATTCTTGTATGAATTTCCTTGTCTATTTTGCTTGCTTGTTCTTGCAGATGGAATTTATTATTTTATTAATGTTGCCAAAAATTGTAAGTAAAATAGCAATTATCATAATAAAATGATTTGTGAAAGAATGTTTTTGCTATATTGTCTTTTCACCAATAACATGTTTTTAGCTTTGTTTGATTTTTATTTGGTACCTCTTGCCAGTTGTGGTGTCATATTTCTTGAGTCAACACTTCTAAATAATGTGTATGATGGAGTTAATGGGTTTCTTGATCTTGGTTTTAATGAAAAATTTTTATATTTTAAAATATACTTATTACTTCTATACTATTAAAAGTAATTGAGTATATTTTAAAATCTTGTTTTCATTTTTAGACTCTTTAAAGACTTGTTTAATTGGGTAGTTTTCAACATCTATCAAGATGGTCATTTGCTTTCTCAACTTCCCTTATAGAAAACTTTTTTTTTTAAAGCAGAAGTAGCCTACTTGGTAGAATATTATTTCTATTACTTACAGCCCTATTTCTATTTTTATTTATATTAAATTAAGTACATTTCCTCTTCCTCAGATTGTCACAGTTTTTTGTTTTTATTTTTTTCCTGGTACTAGTGATTGAATGCAGGGGCTCTTAACCTCTGAGCCATATCCAGCCATTTTTATTTTGAGACAGGGTCTCACTAGGTTGCTCAGAACCTTGCTAAGTTGCTAAGGCTGGCTTTAAATTTATGATCCTTATTTGTCAGACTCCCAAAATGCTGAGGTTACAGGTGTGCCACCACTATGCCCAGCTTGTAGTTTTATCGTGTTTCTTATTTACTCTTTCCCAAGAAGCAACCTTCAATTTGCCTTACTATCCCAACTAGTTTTATTTTTGTTATTCTCCAGTTTTTCCCTTATTATTTATATCCTTTCTGCTTACTTTTGGATTGTTCTTTTTTTTAATATTTATTTTTTAGTTTTAGGTGGACACAATATTTTACTTTTATGTGGTGCTGAGAATTGAACCCAGTGCCTCATGCATGCTAGGCGAGTGCGCTACCACTTGAGACACATCTCTAGCCCCTGGATTGTTGTTTTCTATGACATTATTTTAAAACTTTTATTTTTACTTAAATAAGGAAAGAATTTAAGTTCTTTCTCTGTTTATAGTTTTTCCTAAATCTCAAAATATTTTGATGCATATTTAAAGATTTTCATTCTTAATATATTTGGTGGGTAAGTTAATTAAAAATTTTAAAAATTTGCAGATTAAGCAGTTTTATTCATTTTTATTTTAATTTTTGTGGTGCTAGGAATGACCTAGGGCCTGTGCTTACTGAATAAGCAGTCTACCACAGAGCTACATAAGTGATTTAATTTTTATTTTTACCAATAATTCAGTTTTTCTTGGAGTGTTGGGGTATGTGTGTATTTATGTGTACACACTGGCATGTATACTTATTACCATTGTTTTCAAATTACATAGATTATTAAATATTTTTTATTTCTTTGGTAAAATTAGTTTTATTATAGAAACTTTTTCCCCCAAGTGATATTGCTAAATTTTATTGTTATATTGTGTACATATATGAATATATAACAACAAATCCCATTAATATGTACAACTATAATGCACCAATTTTAAAAATGTGGAAAAAGAAAAACGAATGCCTTTTTCCCAAAATGAATGCGTATAATAGGTAAAAATATGAAAATATTCATTTGAGACTAAATCCAAGTTATAGAACTTAAAAAACAAGCCAAAGATCAAAGTAAGTTAAATATGTACTCACCATAAACAGTATTAGTCAGTTATCAAAAGTAATGGCAGTAGGAGTTGTGGCAACACAAAATTTTTACTAATGCAGAATGAGAAAGCCACGTTATAAATTTATGTGTATTTTATAATTAAATTTATGTGTATATTTTATAATTAAATTTATGTGTGTATATTTTAGAATGACAAAGTGTCTGTTGTACTCGTATAATATCTCTGAAAAAGGATGATAAATACTAAATGCAATTGAGTTATTTAATCTGATAGTGATTATTTCTTTGGTCTTCCAGATGTTATATAATTTAGTTCTTTTGCTTTAAAAAAAAAAAACCAAAAATCATTTAATTAGAGTGGATTTTATTTCAGTGGGTAGCCCTGTTAGACTCTTTTCTTTCTGGTTATAGGATTGAAATGAACATTTGCCAGTGTTGATAAGATTGCTACCAAGACACAGAGACTCTTAGGGTAAGTATTAGCAAAGTATCACCTTTAGAATATAGATTTTTAAAGCATTGTTAGAGACACTGGGTGGAAAATGAGATCGCCAGAGAAACCATATGCACCCTGCAAAGCCTAAAATAATTACTACTTGCTCTTTTACAGGGAGAAGTTTGTTGACCTCTGCTTTAGATTATGAGTTAAAATTTATTCTTTATTCCCGCAAGAAGGCTAGTAAATAAGAAGGGCTTTTGGTATCAGTGTGATAGGGCTATAATTTTTTGATTATATCAATTATATATATAGTGATAAGTAGTCCAAAGCAGTGGAAAGAGACTGATGTCCAGAAAATGACAAAATGTCTTAGGGACATGTGAGAGAGAGCAAGTGTAGCAGGAACACAGTTGCACATGCCTATGTGGTCACATATATCAAAGCCTTGATACTTTTTATTTCCTTCCTTCCTTTTTTTGAGACAAGGTCTGGCTTTGTTGCCTGCGCTGATGTTGAACTCCTGTGTTCCAGTAATCCTCTTGCTTCTGTCTCCCAAGTTGGTGAGATAAAGTGTGTGCCACCTCTCCCAGTTCTATTTTTCCATATTTTTTTGATGAGTAATATTGTGTGCTACTTGAAAATATCAGGAAAGGAAACATACTGTCTGTTCAGGTTTGCTTTCAAGATGGCTATTGACAGGTGATTTTAGTTTCTTCCTGGATGTTAGTAGAAGGTCTTAATTCCTCCATGAGGGCCTCTCTACTGGGTTTACCTTAGTGTTCTGAAAATATTGTTAGTTGGCTTCTAGAGTAAGTGATTTAAGAGAGGGAGCAAAGAGGCTACAAAGTTTTTTTATGACCTAGCTTCAGCAACAACTCTGTCACTTTTAGAGTATTCTATTCATTAAAAGTGAATCACTAGAGCTGGGGTTGTGGCTCACCTAGCATGTGTGAGGCACTTCGATCGATCCTCAGCACCACATAAAAGTAAAATAAAGGTTATTGTGCCCACCTACAACTTAAAAAAAATATTTAAAAAAAGTGAAGCACTAAGTCAGGTAAGGCAGGTAATTAAGTTCTGCTTTTGAAGGGAAAAGTATTAAAAGAATTTGTGTACATAATTTAGAGCCATCAAGGGTAAATCCTCTGGTCCTAGATTACATATCTCCTATGTGCAAAATATACTCACTTTCTAAGACCTCTAAAAGTTTTATCCACTACAGCATTAACTTGAAGTCCAGAATCTCATTATCAAGATCAGGTGTGGATGTGAATCTGGCTTTCTGGGTAGTATTCCTTTTGTGCAATACCTCAAGTACAATTTGAGGTTCTGTGAACTGAAGAGACAAAAAGAGAGTCACATAAGAGTTACCAGTGTCTGGGACTGGGGTTGTGGCTCAGCGATAGAGCGCTTGCCTAGCATGTGCAAGGTTCTAGGTTTGATCCTCAGCACCACATAAAAATAAATAAATAAAATATAGGTATTGTGTCCAACTATAACTAAAAATATATTAAAAAAAGAGTTACCAGTCTGTAGCAATTCTGGAATCTTGACAAGGCACATGTTAGAAGGTCATTAAAAAACATTCAGTGCCTGAAAATTCTCTTAGCTCTTGGCTTAGACCTCTCAATTCTTTGTTCTACAAGTACTAGTTTTTTTAATGAATGGTTGCACATGTTATAGCTGAATAGTTTTTGCAGCCTGTTTCCTGCTCGTAAAAGGAGGTTAAGGTTCAAAGAACTCTTTCATTTTTGTATTGTCTGATTTTTTCAGTCTAAATTGATGACATTTCACCAAATATATTCTCTCTCAACAGTACCATCCTTTTTTTTTTTTAATAGATGGATGGATGAAAGTTTGAGCCCAAGATAGTTATTTTTTTAAAAATGAAGATTTTAGATTAGATTAAATGATTGTTAATATTTCTCAAATATTTTGTGGTAAAAAAAGATAGGTACTCCTTGGGTGATATAAGACAAACTGGAAAGCAAAAGAAAATGAAACAAAAAGCAAAACATTTATGCAGTACTTGATGGTTTTAAATATTCATTTCTTTCCTTTTTTCTTAAAATATTTTTATATTGTTGCTTAATAAACAATCACTAGTGTTAGCATTTATTATTTAAATATGTGTTCATTTTGAAGCCCACCTGAAGGGCCAGAAACTACTCTGTGGACAGGGTTTTACTTAGTAATGGAAATAGCAAAAGAGGGCAAACCAAAGGGTGCCAGAATGTTTCAGGCTTCAGCTTCAGGCCCTCTTAATGTCCCATTATCCAAACATGGTCAAGCACAAAGTAAAGTGGGATGGTGAATGTATTCCTATAGGAGGAACTACAAAGTTATATGGATACAGGTAGTTATGTTTGGAGCTGATAATTCAATCAGTATGCTATGCCATACTCAGGATATATAGTCATGACTTAATAGGAAAATAGGTGATTAAAATACATGGATAGGGCTGAGGATGTAGATCTGTTGTAGAGCTTTTCCTAGCATGTGTGAGCCACTGTGTTCAGACCTCAGAACTAAAAACAAAACAGCAAAACCCCTCAAACAACCCTACTGTGATAGCTGCTAAATTAGTTGAGTATATCATGATGTGTGCATAATATTTTCCCTCTAGGTCTGAGTCAGAGGTTGCTTGATGTTTTAAGTCTCAGGATGTGGCTATACCTAGGAAAAGTATCAATTCACCAGATCAATAGCTATGTACTGTATAACTCTCCTATGTTGGACTCCTCAGAAAATAGTGTCTGAGTTGGAGATTTCCCTGAAGGAGTTTTATTTGGAATGCTCTATAAGGAAAGGAAGGAAGATTACAAAGAGGGAGAAAGTGATTGACAATGGCATCAGGGTGGCAATCTCAGCTGGCCCCATGTGGAGCTGGGGTGGAAGGGTTCTTCAGACTTATTGCAAGTTGTGGCAAGGTGTCTGTT